CATTCCATCTCTCCCAGCAGCTTCCTGTAGGCTTTGAGCAGCAGAGGAGACAGGACTGATCCCCTTCTGGTCTGTGGAGCTCTGTGACTTTATTCCATCCTGCCAAGTCCTACAGATGTGCCAGCAATGCCTTGTCATGAGCCGTATCAAAGGCCATTGGATGATCCAGTATTATCACCAGAAATATCTGGCCTCTTTCCATAGGCCCATTGATTATCATGATTGTGCCATTTCCATACTAAATTCATGGCCTCTTTGAGATGAAGGAACCTGGAGATGGCAGATTACTACTGGAGTTGCCCTTCCCACCAGTCCTTCAACGAGCTGTTCCAAAGACACAGGCAGACACCATGCATTGCAAATTGCTTTGTGGACTCATCTTTGCATAAGTCATAAACTTCAAAAACAGCAAAAATCTAGTTAAAAACAAACCACCAGCCCCCTCCCCAAATAAAACTCTACACCAGTGGGCTACTCGACTTTTCTTTGAAATTGCACAAACGTAATATGTCAACTTAAAGTGACTTTTTACTTGCATTACATTTAAAAAAAAATCACTGCCCTATATTTTTGCAGGAGCTTACTGCTGCTATAGAAAACTGTGCTGCAGTCCCAGTTTCACAAAGCACATGCCTAACTTTAAGTGCATAAACAGTCATATTGAAACCAATGGGACTGCACAGATGCTTAACGTTTCCACATGCACATTAGTACACATTGCTGAACTGAGGACTGCGAGGCCACAGGTAGCTTTGGCACATACAACCAAGTGCAGTTTTAGGGTTTGTCTACACAGAGCAGTAACGAGGACTCTGGGGCTGTGATTTTTTTAAGCACACGTTAATTGGTCAGCAGTTTTAGGGTTTGTCTACACAGAGCAGTGACGTGGACTCTGGGGCTGTGATTTTTTTAAGGACACGTTAATTGGTCTGTGTAGAACCCGCTGGTGCGCACTCCAATTTCCCAAGTGCACTCCACGGTAGTACAAATCATTTCTCCAGCACAAACAGTAACTGTTTACATGATTTCTCCAACAAGAGTCTGAATCTTCTTTTTGCCATTCTACAGATCTTGGTAATTCCTTAAGAACCTATGTCTGTTCTCTGTTCCTGGCACGTTTACCTTTCTTTGGATTTTCTTCAGAGAGTTCATGTTTTAGTCCCATTTCCATTGGATCATCCATGTCATCTAGGGAGGGGGAGAAAAAGGAAAAGCATAAAACCACTGCAGTTTTGTGGGTAGAGAAATGGACGGGAACTCAGGAGATCTAGGTTTTATTTCCAGCTCTGCCACTGACTTGCTAGTGGACCTTGGCCAAGTCACTTCCCCACAACTCCCAACATTTCGAGTAGCTAAGAGGGACACAGCAATTTGGCCCATCACCCTTCTGTGGATGGATACTGAGGGGCGAAGTGGGAGCCTGTGCTCGCGGGGACCTGGCTTTTAAGCAGGCTCCTTGCTAGCATTGGCTCCTTGGGAGCTGCCTGTCCCTCTACACCCTGTGCGTCTGTCTCTGATCAGAAGCAGCAGTGTGAGGGAGGGGGGGACGGGGATGGGGGGACGTAGGCAGGAGCTGGTACGCATGAGGAGCCAGCTTTTAGGAACTTTTATGTCTCTGTTCCAATTATTCATTCGTTGTTTATATTTCACCAGCTGTCTTACAGCTTTGTGCACCTCCAAACTAGGTGCAGTCTCAGGTGTGCTGTGTAAGATCTTCAACATTTGATTCCCTTTGACATATATTTCTTTCTTGAGTCCTGATTTTTCAATCAAATCTCAAAAAGTTGAGCAAATATTGTGCTTTAAAGTCCCTGATCCTATATATCAATTTGACCAAGCAGACTCCCATGCTCATATACAACTCTACTAAAAGGAGTACCCCGAGTAGTTTCCCAGATACTTTTTGTGGTTGAGATTTCTTTATCTAGTATCTCATTCAGAGCATGAGCACCACATTTACTTACATCAAGTGCATTTCCCATACAATATTTTACATCAGATCCTCAAATGATGTCAATCAAGCGAGCTCCGTTTCAAAGGAGCTATGCAGATTTACATCAGCTGAGCATCTTTCACTGAATCTTATTAGTTAAGCGTGGTATATTCCGATCTATGAATGGAAATAGCACAATCACTTAGTTATAGTATTAAGACAAATTATTAGGAAGAAAAAATTGAGGCTTCAGTCACAGGAAGGGATTCAAATAATTTGATTAAGAATGTTCACCTTCTATTTCTTACATCTGAATGATGCCGGGCACAAAACATTTCAGAAGATCTCTCAGACGTGCCTACATAATGTCTGTTCTGACTCCCTTTGTTTTATTATACATGGAGCCACATAGCTAGTGTTATAAGACAGAAACTCCACTCGACTCTGTCAAAGGCTTTTCTATAAGAATCCCTTTTTCATAACTTTCTCAAAAGAGTTTCCCCTAGGCTAAAATCTTCACCCTGGGTTAGCTCAAAGGTGATTTACCACACTGAATCAGATCCATGCTATGTGTAGTCCTGTATCCCACCTGCTGTCATACTAGATCAATTCAATGAAACAGTATCTAGTACAATGTTTGACAGGATTTGGGGGCTGACCAATATTTGTGGGGCACAGAGCTCAGCTCGAAGGGGGCACATCAGAAGGCAAATGGCAGATCTTCTGTCCTCCTCACTTGTTGAAGTTGCATAAATGGTTGCCAAGCTTTTTCTAGTCTAGGGGTGGGGAACCTATGGCCCACAGGCTGGGTCCAGCCCCCAGCTTACTTGGATCCAACCTATGGCGAGCTTCAACACCCCTCCTAGGGCTAGACTGGCAGCCCCAAGCCTCCCCCCTGCTCCCTGATCAGTGAGTTTTGGTTTTTGCTTGTTGGGAGCCAAGTGAAGGAGGTGTGTTGGTTTTGTGTTTTGTTTTTTGTTCCCACTGGTGTGTGGCCCCTGACCAAAAAAACGGTTTTCCAGTAAAACCTGGCATGGAAGGGAAAAGTTTTATCTAACAGCAAGATATTCTAATACCTAGATTAAATGATATTTTCAATGATCTGAAACAAAAATGCTGGACAGAGTTTTATAACTGTACAGTCAATAAAAAAACTTTTAAGTTCAGCATCTTTCACTAAAGGTTCCTTTGTTCCACTGTAGCCCTTGAAACATGCGTCTTTAAAAGCAGATGTCCTCAGCAATTCAGTTAGGTTTAACACTAACAACTGTCAAGGTCTTATTGCTATCAATATTACACATGCAGAAATAGGCATGGGTTCTAGAAGTAGTCCACTAAGTTATGATTTCAGATGAATTCAAGCAGCTATTTGGCAGTGACATTTCATTCGGACATCATGCAGCACTTTTCACAAGATTATAACAACTATTCAACCATGTAAAAATTGAGCCCTGTGGGATTTTTATTCCATAACCATGTCTATATCCATCTATATCATCCAAAATTCATAATCTTAGGGAAGGCATCTGATCAGTCATACTCCTGATATTTCAGTCCAATGCCTCATGATCTCCAGGCGTGAAACTGCTGAGCTGAAATTCAAATGCAAATCTGACACCATCAAAATGGGTCTGACTAGAGATTGGGAATGTCTCGCTCATTACCATAAGTAATTTTCCATTTTAGGTACTCTTACTTTATCTACATCCACCGATTGAATAAGCTCTGATGTAACACTCCCATCTCTGTATCCCTATTATCTGCTTCTTTTGCTTTTGCTTCAAGCATCTGATGAAGTGAGTTGCAATTCATGAAAGTTTTATGCCACAATAATATGGTTAGTCTTTAAGGTGTCACCAGACTCTTCTCAGTTTTTGCTCACACAGACTAACACAGCTACCTCTGGAACCTCTCTTTAGAGTGTAATAAGCCAAAGAATTTCACTAAATCATATCTTATATATCACACTCCTTTGTTCTTCCCAAAACAAAATATCCACATCTAAATCTAGATCTAGATCTAGATCTAGGATACTTAATAGATACTCAATATCACATCTAGAAATCTGAATTGTGAACACTCAGTGTCTGCCGACTAACCGTTTCATTTTTACAGTCCTCAGCAGAAATAACCTTTTTAGTGCCAGTGCTGCCTGTTGCTCTCTTAGCCCCAGCTGGTAGCACTGCTCTGTCCAGGGTGCTGGCAGTTCTCTCAGACCTCTACACAGAGACACAGTCCTTCCTCCCTGGGCTCGTAGCAGAGAACTGCCTTCCTATGTCTTGCAGCTTCCTTTTTATATGGGATTACTTGGACCTGATTGGCTGCTCCCTCCAGCCCCTCTCTGATTGGCTACCTCTGATGCAGTTTCCCTAAGGCTGCTCTTAACCCCTTTTCTGCCAGTGAGGGGCAGCCACACCATCACAATGCATATTGAAATGTTCACATTATTAAAAATAACTGGTATACATCTGGTATGTCAAAGATAGAGTAAGTGATTATTATAATTATTATTAAAACTATTTCTAAAGATGAGTTAACACCAGTTGGGACAAACAATACGACTGTGGCTGACAGGGCTTTTTATGATCAGCAAAGTCCTGCAAATCTGCATATATACACTTTGTATAGTCAGGTATCTGCATCTGCAGACGGTTGTTTTGTTTACCACCTTTGCAGGTCACATTTTTGGCTCTAACCATGAGGTAGGCTGCTGGTGCAAATACAGATACATAGACAAGGCAGCATGCAGATCGTGGTCGGATACAAGTTAATTATACAATTGGCTGCAGATCCAAATTTTAAGCGGGGCTCTAGATAAGTTATCTGCATAATTCCAATCACACTAAAAGAGCACAAGTTAATTCATAACCAAGGCTAGCACTTGCACTGCAATCAATCACACAGAATGTGCAGTCTTTTAGCTCATCTTACCTCTTGTGAGCTGTGCTGTTCCATACTGTTCTTCTCTGACCTGTTTCATGAGCTGCAGATTACGTGCACTGGCTTCTTTGTGGTTTACCATAGGAAATGGGTAATCTTGACCTGATACAAAATACGAGCAGCCATTTCTACACATGTAATCTATTTAAACACTATCTTTTCAAATGGATTTGCACCAGAACTTGAAATATTCATGCTTTTTCATTTATTGCCCTTCAACTGACTGTCAAAGAGTATGCCCTGGAAAGCTGGGAATTAAATTTACCCTGTGCCAAGGGTCTATGCCCCACTTCATTCTGCAGTTTCTGATTGTTCTCTGAATGAGGATGAGATCATTAGATAACCAGAAATAAGATTTTAGCCTGACCCAAGAACTTCTTGATTCCAACGGGAAAGGAAGATACAGGAATATCTTGATTCTTGATATGTACATTCTGGTTCACCAATGTGAGATCATACATAACGCCAGGGTCCCACTGGTTATTAATATCATTGTGAAACTATATATGGAGATGCATCGATATACTGAAACTATGGCCTTTTCTATATTGGCAAGTTTTGTCACCAAAAAACCCTTTTAGGCAATAAAACCCAGAGGGCGTTCCCATTGCAAAGTGACAGACATCGTGACAAACACCCAGTTTTGAGGGCAAAAAACTTCCAGCTCTGCAAGGGACTTTTGTCTTTCCCTTTCTCTTTACTGTCAGCAATCATGCAGTGAGTACCACAGTAGGCTTTTTGTTGAGTTTACTGGATTCCAGCATGTTTCCCACAATGCCCGATTAGCCACTCTAGCCAGCACTTTGAACTCCACTGCTCTGCAGCCGCGTAAACAGATATGCCCCTCCCACCTGCAACCCCCCAAGAACGTTAAGATCCATTTCCTGGTGTCTGGCTCTTTGTGTAGTGGTCCTCATGGCAGCTTCTCAAGGAAACAGAGGTGATTATCATTCAAGACACTTTCCTGCTTGGAGCATCCCAGAGGTGTTGGATCTTCTCAGTGGGTGGGTTGAAGAATCACAGCAGCGAGTGTCCCGTCATGCAAGTGGCCTGAAAGTGAGCTGGAAATCCTGGGAGGGCAGGGAAGCAAAGAAGTGGCTGACGAGATGTTTTTCACATTCCCAAAATGCCTATCCATTGCGCGTTTCCACAGTGCCTAGTGACCGAAGGTGATGCCAGGAGCTGTCAGTGCTTACCCACATTGCTTTGCTCTTTCTGTCACCAAGGGAGTTAACAATGTGGTCGTGCTATGTTGACACAGGGTGGCAGTGTAGACATGATTCGTCAACTTTCTTTTTGGCGACTTATGAATGTTGACAGCACTTTCGTCACTGGGGTTTTTTGGGGACCAAACTTGTCAGTGGAGACAAGCCCTATGTTTTAAAGGCTGTATCAAGTCAGAGTTCACACACAGGTTTTCTGCCAGACAAGGGATGTTTATTCACCTGTCTCTCTTCTCAAATGTCTCATTCAGTGAGTCTCCCTCTCAGCACCTATCTAAGCTGAATGCAGATGAAAGCTTGTAAGAATTTCAAAAAGAAACAGGCAGACAGAGAAACACAGCAGAGGATTATCTAGAGATACATATCAAGGGTTCACTGGACTTCATTTGGGAAACATAAAAGACGCCCCATAATCTGACACCTAGGAAGGAAATGGGCAGTACATTTACATTCACGGAAACGGGATTTAATCAGTTAAAATGCTGCCCCGGTGACTTTAACTGTTGGGAGTGAGGTAGACATTTTTACCCAGGAGGTTAGCCTGTTAAGTTTAGTCTCTGGAAAGCATGTTACGATTTTATTTTATACAGAGCTTTTTATTGCCATTATCCTTACTCACGATTCCTTCGATCTTGAATCGTTGGGAATAAAATACGTATCCTTGTTTTCACTGTCACTACAGCTCAGTGCTGTGAGATTAAGCAAGATGCCAGTCTTGAATTGGTTCGGACAAGCTGGCCTGTGCACTGTTCCTTTGGGGACAGCAGACCTGGTATTTCTGCGAGTGTTCAGTGGATAAGGGGCAACATGCTACAGGGAGATGCTCCATAGGAGCCTGGAGTGCACCTGTTGTTAACCTGCCAGGCAGAGTCAAAGGTGGCATTGCCCAAAGAAGAAGGCTTGGCTGGCTAACAAGCTGATGCTGTCAGGGAGCTGACACCCAGTTAGTCTCCTTTATGCTAGAGACAGTAGGGTCCCAAGATGATTTATGGCAACTGGGGACAGAGGCTGCAGACACCTGGACCACTAATGCTCTTGGTTGTCTGGGCAGGGCATTTCTGAGATTAAGAAAGCAGCCATGACCTCCCACAGATCTCATGCTGTACTGTACTCAATGGCCTCCTGACTGGAACACAGATTGCTGGAGCAGCCAAGAAAGGCCTGGAGGCAGATGTGAGAGTTGGAAGCTCGATCCTCTGAGTTTCTTTGCTTTCAGGATCAGTTGTAGGATTCTCGGGCACAGCAGCTACAGCGTAGAGAGCTGTGTCTGGCATTATAGCCACGTCTAGCAATAAGAAAGGGGACACTTAAAATCAGAGGGAGAGTGGACAAGTAACAGCTGTTCCTTGTTGGAATCTGACATAGCTTGGACTGTTCAGTGACAGATGCTTTGGACTGTGGCTTTCTTACTCAGACTTGGGATGTAATAGTGTAGTCAATTAACCGATTACCTGATAAGCAAAACCTAATAGGTTAATACTATAGACTACACGCGTTTCCCTCCCCGCCCACCCCGGACAGGAGCTGCTGCCTCTGTATCAGAGGCAGCAGCACAGGGCGACAGGCGGCTGGTCTGCAAGGGGAGCTGGTTTTTAAATTTGCTTTCCTTATGGACCAGCTCCCGCCTGGCACCTCGCATGGAGTGGCCAGGGACTCCTCGGGAGTGGAGCCAGAGTGCACTGGCTGCCAGCCCCGCCCCCCGGGGCTATAGAATAGTTGACTAACTGATAAGAATTCATGAGGTTACTCGACTATTCAATTAACATCCCTAACTCAGACACCAAGAGAGCATGCTACTGGCACAACCACAACAGGCTTGCTTCTCTTCCATCTTGCTGAGGGCATTCTGTGGCCCCTATTTCCATAGCATCTTAGTACTTCACGTGCTGTAATGTTGGAACCTGCCCAACACCCCTTGGAGGTCAGGAAATTCAATTTTGCCCATAGTTCAAAGACAGAATCCACAGAAAGGCTAAATGAGTTCCCTAAGGTCACATAGGAAACCTGTAGAGGAGCATGGACTTGAACCAAGTTGTCCCATGTTATAGACTACTGCCCTAACCACTCGGTTACCCTTCTTTGTTCCTCAAATACAAACACACAGCAAAATCCTGCTACAAACGGCACTAGGACTTCAGGGTCTGCAGTCTCTTAATAGAAGATGGTCAAAATAAAGACATTTACCATTGTGTCTGAAAACCAGAAAGTCAATCTCAGCAAATTTTCACTTGGGTAAAACCATTACAAACCCCCAGAACCTTCCAGCCCCACCCTTTTTACCCATTGTGATGACACCACAGGGTGGTGTATGGAAGCATACTGAGAGGCAGGATGGCTTAGTGCAGGGCTACTCAACACACGGCCCATAGGTCACATGCAGCCTGCAGCCTGTTTGATGGCGGCCTACTGGTGGGAGCCAAAACAAACAAGTAGTGAATATAATGGACTTCTGTTGATCTGCATTTTAGTAGTTAAATTCCTGGACTCTCATTGGTCATTAAAAGTGCTGTCATATGGGTGGAAATTGGGTAAATGTTGCATTTTATTAATATCAGCAGAACTGACTTAAATGGGGCTTGCATGTTGTGTAGTCTTGCCTTAATCTTTGTATTTATGCCCGTCAGTGTGAAATAAACTGTTTGCATATATTTGCATGTATATGCAACCACACTCAGGGTACGTCTAGACTACATGGCTCCATCGACGGAGCCATGTAGATATGTTGTTTTGGAAAAGGGAAATGAAGCCGCGATTTAAATGATCGTGGCTTCATTTACTTTTACATGGCTGCCGCGCTGAGCCGACAAACAGCTGATCAGCTTAAGGCTGTGTCTAGACTACATGCCTCTGTCGGCAGAGGCATGTAGATTAGGGTTGTAGGCAAAGGGAAATGAAGCCGCGATTTAAATGATCGCGGCTTCATTTACATTTACATGGCTGCCGCGCTGAGCCGACAAACAGCTGATCAGCTGTTTGTCGGCTCAGCGCGGCAGCCATGTAAATGTAAATGAAGCCGCGATCATTTAAATCGCGGCTTCATTTCCCTTTGCCTACAACCCTAATCTACATGCCTCTGCCGACAGAGGCATGTAGTCTAGACACAGCCTTAGGTTGTGGCCCTTGGCATGTGCTGTGAGGATCACTGTGGCTCCAAGGGCTTCCAAAGTTGAGTAGCCTTGGCTTGGTGGTTAGGGTGTTAGCCTGGGACTTGGGAGCAGTAGACTCAGTGCGCAACTCCACCCCATTCCTCCTGTGTGAGCTTGGGTCCTTTGTCTTTCTGGGCCTCAGCGTCCGATCTGTAAAATGGGATAACAGCACATTTCTACCTCTCAGCAGTGGAGGAGGATATATTCACGTGGTGAGGTGTTTAGATACTATGGCGATGAGGGGCCATATGAATACGTCTGAGAGATGAACAACCTGAGGGGCTGCCTTAGGTTTGACACACCAGACAACATTAAGACACAGAGGACCCTGAAGTCATATTGCAGGTTATAATAATGTGTCATCTTTATCTGAGAGCTGAAACAACCAAATATATTGGGCTAATCCATTTTAGAACATAAAGGCCAAATCCTTGTTCCAAATGGTATGTTTTCATCTCAAGCAAATGCTTATTTCACACAACCATATCAGTAACAAAATTCTTAACATCGCCTCAGAATTACCTATAATACAGCCTGCCTGCTTCTGTGCCTCTTCTGGTGCTGTCCAAGGCTCGTAGATGTACTTGGAAGGAAAATTTGTAAGCACTGGGAGGTATTTTCTGAAAAAAAAACCCATAATTAATATGTACATTCTGTAGGCAAATATTTGAGTATTTCTATGCAGAACACACACGAGTCCCAAGCAACTATGTTGATATTTCAGCATGTGCCTCTTGGATGTATTTGTTCGGGACAGATCTAACTGAATTGGCCAGCAGGAGGTAGCAAAGGGAAAAGGACTGGATAAATTCAAGGAGGGATAGATCCATCAATGGCTATTAGCCAGAATGGGCAGGGATGGTGTCCCTAGCTTCTGTGTGTCAGAAGCTGGGAATATGCAACAGGGGATGGATCACTTAATGGTTCCCTGGTCTGTTCATTCCCTCTGGGGCATTGGCCATTGTTGGATTTTTGGGCTTGGCTGTAAACAACAGATTGAGAAATGTGTCTGGGATGGATGCTAGAGGCATGAAGGTAAGTGTAGCGGCTGGTAGGTTTCTGGTATAAAGTGGTGGAAATGTGTCCGTCATGTAATTGTACTGCAGTGTCAAGGACGTGGATGTCTCATGTGGACTGATCCAGGCTGAGGTTGATCCAGGATCCCACTCTTGCAATCAGCCCCGGTACCATCTCCGCTCACATATCTATACAAGCAATTTCATCACTGGGCCCAACCACATCAGCGATTACATCAGAGGCTCATTTAACTGCACATCCATTAATGTGATCTATGCCATCAAATGCCAGCAATGTCCCACTGCCATGCATATTGGCCAGACTGGACAGTTTATATGGGAAAGAATGAATGGACGCAAATCAGATATCCGAAAAGGCAACACACAGAAACCTGTCGGAGAACACTTTAACCTGCCCGGGGTCTCATTAATGGATCTCCAAGTCACCGTATTGTTTCAGGCCAATTCCACAAGTTAAATACACAGGGAAGGATTGGAACTTAACTTCATTTACAAGTTTGATTCTTATCACAGAGGAATGAATAAGGATATCGGCTGGCTGGCACACTATCTTCCACATCCTAAGGACTTAACCAACCAACCATCCAATGGGTGCTTATAAAGGTGCAAATTGTTTTTATCAGCCTCTTCTAACTTGAACAATCCAATTCACTATTTTTTTCTCTCCCCCCACCTCCATCCCGCCTGCTTTCCCTTATTTATTTTTGGATCTGGACCTCTAATACTCCAGTCACCTGAAGAAGTGGGTTGTACCCATGAAAGCTCTTGATACCATCTACATGTTTTGTTAGTCTTTGAGGTGCCGCTAGACTATTAGTTGAGCAATATCTTTATCAGCAAAAATGAGATACTAATGATCTAAGGGCTTTTCACCAGAGCTCTCAAAGTGTTTTAGAAAAGCAGTCAGGATCATGATCCCCATTTTACAGATTTATAGCTGAAGAGAGGGGACAGTGACTTGCCCAAATCAGCCAGTGGCACAGGCAGGAATAGAACCCATCTCCCCTGAGTCCTAGTGCAGGCTTCTGGTAGAACACACACACGGACAGGACCAGAAATCATGGCAGGGATTGATAAACTATTGCATTAGAGAGGAAGGCTGACCCAGTGGTTAGGAGACACATGCTCAATTTCCTGCCCTGCCACAGACTGCCTGTGTGACCTGGGACAAGTCCCTTAGTTGCTCTGTACCCCATCCGGAAAACAGGGTTACAGCTCTGGCTTACCCCACTGGACTGCAGGACAACGATAGCTAAGACTGCAACGTACTCAGATGCTGCAGTAACAGGAGCCAGATCGGTCTCTAGAAATAGTTAAAAAAGGGTTGTTGTGTTGTGTGTCTTCTTACCGGATATACTGCCCTTCTGGATCTGTGCGTTTGCCAAAGCGGACAGGACAGAAAATGCGTGTGTACTGATGGAAGAAAGCACTGGCTGACAGCCACATCCAGTTTCCGGCATTGATGCTGTAATCTGCATCTAACAGCATCTCTTCAAACACCTGTATTTCATGATAAATTAAAGAGAGAAAACACATCTTGGGGGTGAGGAACACCAATATGGCAAGGAAATAAAGAATGCGGGTGTGTGAAATAAAGGGCAAAGGCTGTTAAAGAGACACTGAAAAAGAGAGCTATCCCTTTAAGAGCAGGGGAGACTGGGAACTATTTGGGGTATATTACCAGAAGGAAGTCATTCTGGGCAGGCTATGATGAAAGAAGACCTGTAGGAACCTAGAACCTGGCTAGGAGGCATAGATAGGGACTGTCTATGACACATTTGTGACTATGTATTTGTCTTGTGGTTAGTAAGCTGAAATTTGGATTTTTATACCTGTAGTCAGGATTCGGGAGACCTGGGTTCTATTCTTGGCTCTGCTATTGGCCTGTGGCGTTCAGCCAGTCACTTCTCTTCGTGCTTCTATTTTCCCTCCCAATCTTTATCCGGTTGTTTAGATTATTTGCTCTGCGAGGCAAGAACTGCCTCTTACGATGGATGTATTGGTACAACATCCAGCACAACAGAGCCCGTATCTCAACCGGGGCTTCTGAGCACTACTGCGTTAAAAATAATAGGATGCTTCTCACATGACCTGACCACAGGGTCACGGCATAATAAAACTGCCATGGAAGGGTCCTTCCTGCCCTACAGTTCTAGGATTGTTCAAATCCTCCATTTCACAGGGGCTTCTTCAAAGTACCTTGCAGTAACAAGCCAATGAGCAAAGAAAGAAAAGATGGCGAACCTTCATGCCCTCTTCCCAGCTGATCCAGAGGTCTCCTCGAGTCAGGAAGCAGGCAACGGCATGGCGAGCAAGGTGGTGAATCCAACCTTCCCGATGAAGCTGCGTCATGATAGCATCAATCCACGGAAAGCCTGTCTGTGCCTAGAACACCCAGAAGAGTTCAGTCCTCCTGCTCACTGTGCACAGTGCTTCATTCCTCTTTCACCTCCCACAATTGCTTCTTCTCTCCTGTCTTTTCTTTATACACAGAGGCCAGTCACTTTGTCAGAGGCTCAAGCACTATGGGCCCAATGTGCAACCCTTGTTCACAAAGGACAGTGATCTAGGCACTGCGGAATGAGAGTCTAGGACAATGGACAAGGGAATGAGAATGACGTTAGAGCCTAGTGCAGTGTTTCTTGAACTTTTTAAGACCAAGGAACACCAAACAATAATTTTTTTTATGGGAAACGCTGAGGATTTTTTTGTTAAGGAAAAGAAAAAAAAAAAGGAGGCTTGCCCCTTTAAGGGCAGCCATTCCCAAGGGAAAAGTTGTTGACCAAAAAATAAATAAATAAAATGCAGTTTGCCCTTTTCTCAGCAATGCAGGCATTGCCCTTTTAAGGGCAGCCATTTTGAACTCTGTTCTCTGCGGCACACCCGTGTGCTACGGAACTCACTTTAAGAAACACTGGCTAGTGCTTGGGGCATTCACCTAGTAGGGTGTAAACTCCCAATTAATCACTTTATCAGTTAAACATTATGTTTAATTGGTTAATCGCTTAATTGGGATCCTGCAGGTGGGGAGCTGCTGCAGCCCAGCGGGACCCGCTGTGAACAGGGAGCTGCTCCGGCCCAGCTGGACTGCCGGTTCGTCAGTTACTGGTAAGCATCACCTAGTAAGAGTGATGCTTACTGGTTAACTGGTTACATCCCTATCACCTAGGACGTGGGAGATCCAAGTTCATGTACGTGATCCAATGACCATTCAAAATAGAACAGCTTCAAAAAGAGGGTATGTCTACATTACCACCCTAGTTCGAACTAGGGTGGTTAATGTAGGCAACTGGAGTTGCAAATGAAGCCCGGGATTTGAATTTCCCGGGCTTCATTTGCATAAAGCCGGGCGCCGCCATTTTTAAATGTCTGCTAGTGCGGACTCCGTGCCGCGCGGCTACATGCGGCACGGACTAGGTAGTTCGGAATAGGTTTCCTAGTCCGAACTACCGTTACTTGGGCATTTGCATGTATTGTAGAAGACACATGCCCAAATCCCTTCTCCCCATCAGGCAGTGTGGGGGAATTGAACCAGGATCTCTTACATCCCAAAAGAACTACATCAGTGTGGGGGAATTGAACCAGGATCTCTGACATCCCAAAAGAACACTCCAACCACTACACCAGAAGTTACAGGGAGCAGGTGGCCTTCTCGCCAAAACGTTTTTTGAGCTCAAACTATTCCGCAAATTTGTTCAAAGTCAACCGACACTGCATGTTTCACCAAATAAACTATTTGCCCTAATTTCCTGCTCCTCCCCCCCGCCAGCTCTGTGATTCTCCCCAGAGAGCAACTCGCATCGTCATAGATACCTGTGCCCAGTGCTTTTTTTGTGACGGTACTGCCCGGTATGCAGTACTGGCACTGCTAGATGCAGTACAGAGCCCAACAACTTTTCCCCTGGAGTACCGGCCCTTTTTTTTTTTTTTTTAAACAAAAAAAGCACTGCCTGTGCCAAACAGGCACCAAGCATTACCACATGGGCAACACAGGGTGCAAGGCTGTGGAGGTTTAAACCTATAGCAGAAGGTCATCAGAGCCATCAGTATATGCAGAGATATTAGGATGTTATGAGGAAGATATTAGGATTCCAATAGCCTATTTTTCAGGAGATACTTGGCTAGCATGGCATATTGAGGCTAATGAGAGGTTAGTTTCTACCCTGGCACTGATGAAGGTAAGTGTCTCTGTGGCCCTTGGAAAGTGATTTCATAGCTCTGTGCCCATCTTCCTAGCTATAAAGCATGGATAGAGATACTTGTCTATGTCTTGGGGGAGCAGTCAATGCTCATCAAGTCGGTTGGAGAAGAAAATATTCATGATGGTTCTATGGATGCAGTGCACTGAGGGGCCTGGAGAAGGTGCTGTGTTTGTGTGTGGGAGCTAGATATTAATTATTACTATTGGGTACCTCTTATGCAGGTTAGGCTCCCGGGGGTTTCTTTGGTTGGTTGGAAAACTCTCCAAATAGTCATCAGGATATAAAAATACCCAGGGGCAGTGTTCCCTCCTAGGACAGATTCAAATGCTGCCCAGGCAATCAGCAGAGTGCCCACAGCTGACAGCAGCCAGCAGCATGTGTTTCTACTGGTGGTGCACATCCACATAGGCCTCGGAGCAGATAACAAAATGTATTCCGCATATGGAAGGAAAAAATTAGAGGGAACATTGCCCAGGGTCCATGATGGGTGAAACAGAACAGCA